AACTTTTTATTTTTATCTTCATTTTCATTTTTTATTTCTTTATTTTTTGTTCAATTGTTTTATTTTTACTTGTATTTTATTTCACTACTATTTCATTTCAGTTGTTTCAGGGATTTCAAATCATTTTATATATCAGACAATGGAAATCTGAACTAGTGAAATTCAATTTTAATATGATGTATTTTTATCACCAATATTTTTAAATCGCATCAGAAATATAACGAAACCGGTACAGACTACCACTTTGTAATATTAACCTTGCCTAACTTAACTAAACGGGATAAAGCATGCAACTGCACATCAATTTTGCTTTCTGGGAATCACCGGATCGGGTAGTCACGAAATTTCAAGATCTTGACATTTCTTGAGTCAGAACAAGATATAAGACGTCAAGAAAATGGCAAGACAACTACCGTGTAGTTAAGTTGAGATTGACCTGAACCAATTGTTCTTTTAGATAATTTGAATAGGCATTCACTGAGATGTTACTCATAAAAAAGGACAAAGTTTTTGAAGCAACCTAATCGTACAATGTCTCACTCTATAGTCAAATATATTAACCATGTATTTGACCATTTTATTTGTCTAGTGATACTTAATTCCGTTGTTGTTATTGGTTGAATGTCATTACAGGAGCTAGTATCCTCGCTGAGCCTGACCAAAAGTTCAAGATAGCTGAAATCGAGAAGATTCTTCAGATATATGATTCCGACACTTATGTCAGTAAAGTAAAAGGCTCTGCTGGAAAGGAAGTTATACAAATTATTTTTTCTGAGAAGGAGTTCACTGGTGACAGTTTAGACGAAGCAAATTCATTCCACCAGCAAATTTCCAATGGTGAGAAGATTCGCAACATCACTACCATTCTTTAACCAAATTGAGTCAGGAAATTATGATTTATACAGGGTGATTCAAAAGTAGTTTGACAAACCTCAGGAGGAGATTCCTCACAATATTCTAATATGAATTGTCCAAATAAATAAATGTCCGAAAACGCTTCGTTTCCAAGATACAGGATGTTGAAGTTTCATTTTTATTTTCGTTTTTTTCAAATAACTTCTGAAATACTGAACTTAATTAAACGAAACTTGGTAATAGGAGGTTTTTGAGGTGTCGAATTCAAACCTGATGTTCTTATTGCTCTTACTCGTAGGGGGCGCCACCTACACGTCTTTTTCTTTTTTAAAGATTCATAACTTTTTTGGGCGTACTTCTAGCACATTTTTCAGTAAAAAAATCGATTCCTCTATCATATCTACGTAAATAAGCTACCCTTGTTACTAGTCGCTGTAAGCAACCGTTTTCTAAATATTTGGA